CTCTACGACTGTGGATACTCGGACTAGGGCTCATCTTCGTGGCTTCGTACGTGCTGCTATAAATATCACTCCCGCTATCTACTCATGATCACGCAGAGCGGCGAACATATTCTTCTACATGCGCCAACCCGCACCGTCAATCACCTCCACGCTCCTTGTTATCCTCGCACACCCTCTTGGCAAACTCTTCGCGTACTGGCTGCCCATAACGACGCATCGACTGCCTAGATGGCTTGGTGGTGGCGAATGGTCGCTGAACCCGGGTCCGTGGAACATCAAAGAGCACGCCCTCGTGTACATGATGTCTAACGTAGCCACCGGTGCACCGTACGCGATCCAGGCAACTATTTCCATCGACATCAACTACGGACTCGACTTCGGCTACTGGTTTAACACTGTGCTTATTCTCGCAACGCAGCTTACTGGCTTCGGACTCGCTGGGATGTGTAAGCGAATGCTCGTTTATCCGGCGAGCATGATATGGCCCCAGAACCTGATCGTGTGTACGCTGCTGAATACCTTGCATGCCGAAGAAGACGAGCCTAGAGGGGGTATCTCAAGGTTTCGCTACCTGATCTACGTTGGTACCGGCGCTTTTGTCTTCTACTTCCTGCCAGGCGAGTCTCTTGCAGTACCACCTGTGCACGTTGTTGACGTCTGCACTGTTCAGGTTATCTCTTCACGGCGCTGTCCATATTCACATGGATATGCTGGATCAAGCCCAACGATGTACGCATCAACCAAGCATTCGGCATATCCTCCGGCATGGGCCTGAGCTTCTTGACGTTCGACTGGACGGAGATTAGCTGGATTACCAGCCCCCTCATGGTGCCTTGGTGGGCACAAGTCCAAGTTTTCACTGGCTTTGTGATCTTCTACTGGATCATGACCCCGGCATTGTATTACACCGATGTAGCTATCTCTCTCGCTCTTTATGGCCCGAGCTCACACACATCGATACAGACTTGGGGCCTCTCGTACTTCCCCATGTACTCATCGCTGCTCTACGACAAGTTTGGGAAGGTCTACAACGTGTCAATGGTGCTCACCGATGAGAAGTTCAACGCGACTGCGTTTGATGACTACTCCCCATTATACCTCCCCGCCGCCTACGCAATGGCCTATCTCATGGCATTTGCGCTCGCTACCTGCGTCATCGTTCATACTCTCCTGTTCCACGGGCGCGCGATCCTGAAAGGCTTCAGGAGGATCCAGATTGAGAAGGAAGATATACATGCCAAGTTGATGAAGGCATACCCGGAGGTGCCGATATGGTGGTATCTGTCTGTTTTGGCAGTCTTTTTCTGCGTTGGGGTTGTGGCAGTGGAGGTACGTTGGGCTACGTACTCGTTCGTAAAGCTTCTGACTTTGATGCAGGTATGGGACACGGGAGCGCCTGTATGGTTCATTCTTCTGGCGTTGGTCATCCCGGCGGTCTACCTCATCCCATCTGGCTACCTGTATTCGATCACCGGACAAGTGGTAAGCAACTAGGCTTTCGGACCGAGGTCGTCGCTGAATCGCCCCTAGGTGTCAATCAACATTATCGCGCAAGTTATCCCCGGGACGATCCTTCCCGGCCAACCTATCCCTAACATGATCTTCAAGTCCCTGACGTTGCAGACGCTGACGGAAGGCACTCGTTTTGTGCAAGACATGAAGTTGGGACACTACGTCAAGGTCCCGCCGCGGGCTACGTTCATCGTGCAGTTGACGTCGACATTCTTGGTGGCCTTTATCCAGTGCGGGATGCAGCAGTGGATGTTCGACAAGGTCCCCGATATATGCTCGCAACATCAGAGGTTCCAACTCACCTGTCCACACAACGAAGTCTTCTATGAGGCGTCGGTGTTATGGTGAGTCTAGTCTCCCTCATGATGAACAACGGAGCTGACGAGGATTCGTCTGAGGGGTGTGATCGGACCAAAGCGTCAGTTTGGTTCGAGTTCACCATACCACCCAGAGCTGTATGCCCTCCTTGTCGGCGCCCTTATCCCCATCCCCTTCTGGTTATGGCAACGTCGATATCCTTCCTCGTGGGTGCGATACGTCAACACGCCCCTCATCCTGAACGGCATTTCCCCCATCCCACCAGCGACGGGTATCAACTACTCGTCTTGGTTCCTTGTTGGCTTCATCTTCCAATATGTCCTGCGGAGGAGGAATTTCGCTTGGTGGAGCAAGTTCAACTACGTCACGAGTGCTGCGTTGGATAGTGGTACGTCGCATACTCACGCATTCTATTCAGTACACACAACTCATCTGAGTCGTAGGCACCGTTATTTCATTGCTTGTCATCTTCTTCACATTGGAGGTCAGTATCTTATCCGCTCTGTGCCGATGTCCTTGAACTCATAGTTCTGTGAAATCAGTTCCCGAATGGCGGTCATTATATCAGTTGGTGGGGGAATGATGTTTGGAAAAACAGTATGTTGTTACCCTTTATCAGCTGTCTGGAAACGTTCACGCTTATCCTCGCAGCTCTGGACTTCAAGGGTGCTGTCCTCAAAACCCCGCCACCCGGTGGTATTACCCAATGGTAACAGTGTCGCATTATACTTCTCTCACCCCGCGGGCACGTAGCTATCCCCACCTGCCTCTCGTCACTCTTTCGCATAACCTCTCCTCGTGCTCAATGCATACACACACATCGTCACGTCATTATTCGTTTATATCTATCTCATGTATACTCAGCTCATGGTGTTCAGTGTACTCTCGACGTCGCCTCCTTTACCAGCGGTTGCTCCCAATCTCGCACATTTGTCTCTGGTCTAGATTAGCGTAGCTGCTGTCGTACGGTACATATTACAGTATTCTTTTGGAAGCCAGGGGAGAATGTAATACATTCACAGTGTCCAGTGACTATCCGAAGTGTCGGCGAGCCCAACAGTGGACGTGCCTCGGCCGCAGAAGCACAATTGGACCGCACAGACGTCGTCCATTTCTGTGCTCGCGATCCGCAGATAGTACGTACCAGGCCTGAAAGAATGGAGAGAAGCCTATTGAATTGCGGTGCCGGCACTCTCATGTTCGTCCGGCAACGCCAACGTTGGACCACAATCAGTGACAAGGAGGCCTCGAGCTCATGAAAACATCGACACGAGATAATCTAGCACAGCGTGTAGTGACTTGGACTACTCGTACTGATACAATAGCACAGCGAATGATACAACATATACCTCCTGCACAGGACTCTGAGGGCACTGGACGCGGATGCAAGGTCATCTAGACTGGCTGCATATGCAGCTCAATGGAATCCCCGCCAGTCGGAGAGCCTGTCCATACCCATACCCATGAGCCCCATCCCGGGCATGCCGCGACGCCGTGGACCGCCTGGACCAATGTGACGCTCTTCGCGCGTGGCAGTCAGCACGACGTGTTTATCCACCAACTATGAGCGCGCTCTGCGGTTAGTCATTGTGGTCAAGGGACAAATACAACGACGTACGTCGTTCAGTAGACTGGCGGACTTGGTCAGCGCAGACAGATATGCCGTAAGTTGGACGTCCTCGTATTCCTAGGAACGATGTGTCAGGAACGGCCGCTTCGCGGCAGGAACACAGGGACGCCACGTACAGTGTCAAACTCCTCTCGGAACCCCTTGTGGTCACTTGCGGGTAGGGACGCGACAAGAGCCGAGAGAGCGCGGAGCGTTGAATGATCTTTGGTCGCTTGCCCTGAATACACACGTGGTTATTTGCAAAATAAGCGATCCAGCGACAAGATGCAAACGCACCAGCCAAAATGTCCGCAACGTATTTGACCAAGAGTACGATACGGTCATGCAACATTTTCACAGCGGCCCGTTGCGAACTCAGATGCGATTGCACTAGATGGTGATTGGCATTGGTCCAGCACGGAGAACGACTTCGAGAGAAACTCACAGCTGTTATCGCCCTCACCGCCCTTAGCTGTCCAATCTACGGCGATTCGCTCGGCCTCACCCGTCTCCACGGTATACGGAGCCTCGATGAAAACGGATCGTGACTTGCGGTCTCGTATCTCTATTGTCGGCTCGTATGCTTTGAGAGGAAGTGACTGTGCTGTGAGGTCGGAGGATGCAGCAAAGATGGTGGAGGGCTGGAGGATGAGGAGCAGTGGCGTCGCACTGTACGGCAAGAACTAGGTGTACACAAGGTAAACAGTGCATCAAGAGAACTCTTATGACTTGCCTGTTCGTGTAACGCTATGTGGCGTGTCGTTGGTCGCGCCGCAACCGTATACCACCCAATAAATTCGAGAGAAGGGAAGACTTGTTTATCTGTAGGACGCGTAAGCACAGTAGACAAGTCCAACGAAGATCGCCGTACATTGTTCCTTGCGATCTAGCAGGAAGTCCTGATCCACAGTAGTCCCGTCCTCCGACGCGGCGAGCTCAAATGTGTTTACGATCTCAACGTCTCGTCCATTCTGGGTACCCAGTAATGCTCCAATGACTGCAGGATGTCTGTCAATGGTGCGAGTGCCAGTCCAGTTCAGACATACCAAATGGATTGCTCGATCGTGTCTGTAGCTTCAGACGCGTGAGGTGCTCAGAGATGTTGAGGATGGGCAATGGGTGTCTGTACAGACAGCCATGAGCAATATTGCGTGCACCAAGCGGTGGTAAGCACATACAGGGCGATTGAGAGTCCCGACGTAGTACTCGATGGAAGCACTACGGGCAGTTCATCTGTTTCCATCGCACTCATTGTCGCTTGTAATTGCTAGTAGTGAGAGTGGGCGGACGACCACAAGTGCAAGTGCCTCCTGGACGCTCGCAGACGCCATCATATGTAGTGGGCGTTATTTTATTTGATGCTTCTACGCGTCGGTTCGGTCTCCATGAATCTGGCGTATGTTACCAAAGTGTGGTCATGGCTTAGTCGGACCTATGTATTAAAAGAAGGAGCTGCGAGCACTGGAATGTTGCCCTCTGTGCACCAGTAGATAGTGGCCCGGGGAAGACTGCCTCTTAGAGGGAAAGTGGATATAGGGTTTTGGAGAAGCTATGACATTAAGCCTTCTTAGCTCAGTGGTAGAGCGCGTCACTAGTAATCCTATTCGTTGCGATGACGAGGTCACCTGTTCGAAACAGGTAGGAGGCAGGTCAGTTTGTTTTTGCCCGAAGTAATATTGGGTGCCCGCCGCGTGATTGCCTGCCCTGAAGCGAAGTCATGAGCGCGTCGTCGGCCACGGTCGCGTCTCACTCGCGCCGCGCTTGCGATCTCCCTTGTCCTCTTTCTCTTGAAGTTGCCATCCTTCTCGTGAAGATGTCCGGATTCGACGCAGACCGTGTGTTCTCCGTTTCTGTACACGACGTGCCAGAGCCCACTGGCCCAGACTCTCCTTCTCAAACGGAGAAGCTGCTATTGGAATTCCTGCTTCAGTACCGTGTTGGGGGAGACTTTATCTATCGGTGCGTCGACATGAGGCTTTGTGTCTCAAGGCTCGCGCTGAAGCGTACATTAGTGACAAGCTTCGTGCCAACCTACTGCTCAAGCAATACCAGCTCGAGATCGACCTTCGCCACATTGGTCTTTACAACGACGAGCTTGCTCATGCGATTCAGGACCGGCCAGCGGAGATTCTTCCATTGGTGCGCGGCGACCTCAACTGAACTTCTGGCGGGCGACTGACTGTGACCGTAGTTTGAGAGTGCGGCCACCCGAGCTGCCCGATCGATTCTCTTCCCCCTCGCCGCGAACGGTCAAGGACCCAGCAATGAATCTGCCTCGCAAGCCATACAAAACATCCAGATTATGATCAAGTCTGGGTTGAATCTTCAGCAATTCCGCGATCTCTCCGCAAACACAATGAACAAGCTTGTTCGTATTCCTGGTATTGTCATCTCGGCCTCGGTGCTGTCGGCGCGCGCGACGAAGCTTCACCTGCAATGTCGCGCATGTCGTACGCCCAAGATCATCTACCCACCGAGTGGCCTTGGTGGCTTGGGTGGTGGCTCGGACAGGGGTCTCCCTAGAGTCTGCGATGCACCCGAGGTTGAAGGTCAAAAGAAGGATTGTCCGATGGACCCATACCTCATCATACATTCGAAGTCTACATTCTCAGACCATCAAACGCTCAAGCTTCAGGAGGCACCCGACATGGTTCCTGTCGGAGAGCTGCCTCGCCATATGTTGCTCTCCGCCGACCGATACCTCACTGGACAAGTGGTGCCCGGCTCGCGCGTCATTGCCACCGGTATCTACTCAACGTTCCAGTCCGCTAAATCCGTACGTCGCGCGACTGTTTAGACTCTACTTGCGTCTGACTCTGGTGGCAGAAAAACGGTGGAGCAGCTGCACTGCGGAACCCATATCTCCGTCTAGTTCACCTCGAGGTGTCCTCACCAGCAGCCGCAGGATCTGGCGGCGCAAACCCGTTCGGTGTGCAATTCTCGCCCGAGGAAGAGGAAGACTTCGGTGAGATGGCGCGAAGCGAAGGCTTCTACGAAAGGTTCGCGAAGAGTGTCGCACCGAGTATCTTTGGAAGTCTTGGTATGTGGCTTGGAAGCTTTCATGCTAGGTCACTGACAAGAGGTCGCCATAGATATAAAGAAGGCGATAACATGTCTTCTCTTCGGTGGGTCGAAGAAAGTCCTACCAGATGGTATGCGGCTCCGAGGGGACATCAACGTGCTCCTGCTGGGTGACCCTGGGACTGCCAAGAGTCAGCTTCTCAAGTTCGTGGAGAAGGTAGACCCGTTCTGTGTGCCTCCTTCTCAATATTCAGTATTTCTGCGTATAGGTAGCACCCATCGCAGTGTATACGTCTGGCAAAGGCTCCAGCGCGGCAGGTCTGACGGCATCCGTGCAGCGGGACTCCATCTCGGTAAGTCGGCCCTGCTAGTATGCCTCCCGCGTTGCTGAGGCAGGACTCGATAGCGCGAGTTCTACCTCGAGGGTGGTGCTATGGTCCTGGCTGACACAGGAGTCGTCTGCATAGACGAGTTCGATAAGATGCGGGACGAAGATCGCGTGGCTATCCACGAAGCCATGGAGCAGCAGACGATATCTATCGCAAAGGCAGGTATCACTACCGTGCTCAACTCGAGGACGAGTGTCTTGGCTGCTGCGAACCCCGTCTGGGGTCGTTACGACGAAGGACGGAGTCCTGGCGAGGTATGTGTTAACTAGCATGCAACGAGTCCGGTCGCTGACATGCCTGGGGGCCGCAGAATATTGACTTTCAAACCACCATCTTGTCGCGTTTCGACATGATATTCATTGTCAAGGATGAGCATAACGAACAACGCGATCGTGTTCGTGTGTTTTGAGTCGTCAGCTTGCTTGTCTGATCACGCGTGTAGATGATCGCGAAACACGTCATGAACATCCACATGAATCGTCCAAACGAGAATGCAGATGAGAATGGCGAGGCCGTCGGTGAGATAGACATCGACAAGATGAAGCGCTTTATCGCCTACTGCAAAGCGTTCGTCGTCGCGTTTCTCTCACAACAAACCATTGGCTGACCTCACTGAAGAAAATGTGCCCCGCGCCTTTCCGCCGAAGCGCAAGAAATGCTTAGCAGCCATTTCGTATCACTGCGCAAGCAGGTCCAGCAAGTGGAGCAGGACAACGATGAACGCAGCTCCATCCCGATTACAATCCGGTAAGGGTGCTCCCTCTCGTCGTCCCGACGTCCTTTTCACACTGTTCCCAGTCAACTCGAAGCCATCATACGTATCTCCGAGTCGCTCGCGAAGCTCACGCTCTCCCCTGTCGTGCGGAACCACCACGTCGAAGAGGCCATCCGCCTATTCAAATGCTCGACCATGGACGCCGTCTCTGCGGGCTCCGCCGACGGTCTCTCTCGAGGAGAGCTGAACGAAGAGATGAACGGGATAGAGAAGGAGATACGCAGGCGACTGCCCATCGGCTGGAGCACAAGTTACCAGAGTTTGGTGCGCGAGTTCGTCACGCAACGTGGCTACTCCAGTCATGCACTGGAACGGACGCTTTTTGTGCTGGAGAAGCGCGAAGTTATTCGGTTCTCAGGGCAGGTGAGACTGCTCGTTATGTCTGCCCGAACGGACCGCTGACGCTCTGCTGATAGAATAAAGTCGTGCATCGGGTCGGGGTCTGACTATTCAGTTGTTGTATCATGAGTTGGTGTATGCTGTGCCTACGCTGTCGTCACCCATATGTTGTCATGTACCTTTGTGTACCTGTACTATTGTTGCACACTGATCTACTGGACTACCTCCCTTATCGACAGGACCACTCCCATCAGGCAAGTCTGTTAACTTGTCATGTGCACCGTGGACAAACACCAGTCCAATGATCCGTAGTAGAGCCCGTGAGGGAGTAATCTTATTTAGTCAAGGAGCATGGTCTCCACGGTTACCATTTTCGGTAAATTTTGTCTCTCCTTGATTGGCTAGCGCGGAGACTCTCCACTACACCGGGCGCTTGATTTAGACCATCCTCACCTTTCCTCGCACGCCCGGCGCCTTTACATATGATGAGGTGAAGACGGCGAACGCTGCAAGTCCCGATGCAGCGCCCTTTCCTCTTTCTTACTCTTTGGGTGATATTGCACCCTCGCTTCGTTTGTTTTCAAACAATGGCAGTAGTCGCATTCCACAGTTCCCGGGATGCTGAATAGGGATATCATGGTTTTCTATTTGGGGAAATTTCTCACCATGCTGGTAGTGCATTCGCCTCGCTCAATGGCTGCACGGCTTTAGCTTCACAGTATTCTGTGTATGGAGACTGTATTTTGTTTGTGCGTCTGTACAGGTCTCCGAACATTGGGCGACGGTGGGGACGAGCACCCCTGGCTCTCCTGCCCGGGCGGCGAAGCCGCTGCGAGCGTGATGGCTTGATGTACGCAGCCTGAGAGTGCTTTGCCGCTGGATCCACGACATGATTCTGTTTTCCCTCACATCCCTGGTACTTGCTTCCGTGCAGAGCACAGGTGGCTTTCTAGTTTAATGTATGGGGGGAATGGTGTTCACTCTACTGCTGTCAACTACGTCATGCGTACTCACGGGCCTAGGCACAACAAAAGTATTAGCCCACCGCGAGGGTCGAACTCGCAGCCTTCAGATTCCCGCCAAGTACCAACTCTCAGACTAAGAGTCTGACGCTCTATCCGATTGAGCTAGGCAGGCATCCAAATGTAGTTCAAAAGGCTGGTAACAAAAGCCTTCGCAGAACGTCGGCGGTAGTGCAACTCAAGCGGCGTACTAAAACAACAATAGCCTGAGTACTGGTTGTTCGCTTCGAGATTGAACATGTCCATTGTCCGCCATTTTTTCGCGAGTACTGTTAGTCGCCTTCGGCTGGCATGAGTGCCCCTGGATGGCGACCTCGGAGGCAAGGCCGTCTGGTTCGTGGTCCCAGCAACAGTGCTTGGAAATTGGACACGAAGCCCAAGTTCTCGCCTTGCTGCCCTCCGCTGCGGGTCTGCAGTCACGGAAACGCGCGTGCAGTACATGCCAACGGCTACGACGTCGTACGAGTTCACTACGGAACCACTCGACAAATCTGAAGCGAGTGAGATTCCTGGTTACCTGTACGGCCTCGCGAAGGAATGCCCCACCTAGTGAGACCTCAGAATACAGGGCGGGGCCACTTACCTTCGCCAATGGCACCAGTGGGCTTGAGGTACCCGAGCGCCTCGCGCACTCAGTGGATGCAACCGTCGTTCCCTGCAAGCTTCTGCGCGTATTCCCTATCGCTCTGGACAATGAAGGCGTCGAAGAGTGTACTGCGCTGGCCGTCGTAGTGGTGGTCCACTCACACACCGTCCCCCTTGCCTGCTAGGTAGATCCACCCACGACGCGGGCCGATGATCCAAGTCGTTACTTGTCCCACCCCGAATTCCGCGCGCATGGCCTCGACCTCGGCAGCGTTGAACCCATCCGCGATGAGGATAAAGATACGGCGAGACTTGATTGTCGGTACCTCAGGTATGTAGTAGACCTGGCTGAGCGTCGGAGTAGACTTGCCATGGCAACAGTTTGTAGCCTTGTCTGGATCAACGCCGCCGACGTGGATAACTACCTGGTTCGCTAAGTCGAAGTCGATGTTCGCTGCGAGCTTGGTATAGGTCTCGGACACAACCGAATCGTCGCAGTGCGACAGTTCGAAACAGTTCAAACGACATTGCGCTGATGAGGTGCGCCTTCTCATGTGGCGCCAGCGAGTTGTGAAAGAGCTGTGTCTGGTTGTAGGGCTCCTGGAATTTGGAGCCCACACACGCTGCTTGATGCCCTGGATGTTCGTTGCGATGCTGAAGATGAAGATGAATGAGCAGAAGTCTACGGTGGAGAAACGGACGAAGGTTGGAGTAGAGCGCGAAGGGTCGGTGGGCACGGACGCGTAGGTGTATTCTCTACGCGGACGTCCTACGTATGCATTGAAGTAGTGGTAGCCGTGCCAGTGCGCACCGGCGGTGCCCCGGGCATGCACGATGGTACGCTCGCGGTCGAAGCAATGGAACTTCTCGCGCGTACATTGATCCTCGAGCAGCGATGGTTCCACATGTGTCCCTTCCTGGCTTCCAGCCTCCGGAAGGTCTTAGCCAGTCACGGAGACGGACATGAGCACAGAACGGAGCAGTTGTCGGTGCCGGAGATAGTCAGTGGTCAGACCCTTGTCTGGCAAGTTAATCTGTGGGTCAATAGAATCTCTTTGCAAGTGAGCGACCTTTGCAGTGTCGGTGGCAGAGGTGAGGCATCTGCTTCGCAGCGCCGGAAATGGTGCTGGCGATGCAAGAAGCATAACTGGAATCGGAAGGGGGCATTGCACAAGCGTGTTGATGTGTGACTCAGACGCTCTATCCTATGGACGACGGTGGTGGTGATGATGTAAAGGGTTATCCGACGCGTGTATTGGCGCAAACGTCACCGTTGACGTAGCACTCGCCACTTCAGGTCGTAGACGGCAGTGGTGACCGCCAGTCAGCGCATGCATGTTTACCCCTCCACGACTTTTGGCCTTCACTAACAGATTTATGCAGCAATGTAGACAGCGAAGTGGTTAAACATTACACATGGACATACAATAAGATATGTTCAGAAAGAAGATACTAAGAGGTCGAACCTGCACTGTGATCGAATAAATACAAAATATCGGGACAGCAAAGATCGTGAACTATACGGTCAACGGTCATACAACCAGGGTCAATCATTCATGTCATACGAAACTGTCGTTCAGAACCAACACGTATCATAACGTAACAACGTAGACGATGGGCGGACTGACAGAAGGAACATGGACGGTAGGGGACATAGGACGACACCAACCGACTCATGTATGACGTCGTCACAGTGCAGAGCACATCGGTCAAGGTCGACCTTAGTAGAGACCGACGAAACGCTCGGCACCATTCGGACGGACGTGAGTGTTGCGCGAGCTGTTGACAAGGTTGAGTGTGAGCGGGGCTCTATCGAAACAAAACGACGACGTACGCAAACCATGGAAAGTGGGGAGCATAGTATGTTGACATAATCTACTTCTCGTCACAGTCGCAGCCCTTGTCTTTGCCGACCCAGCCCTTGCCACAGTTGTCACACCAGCCTCGAGGTCCCTTGCCGACACCAATCGACGACGAAGGCGGCATGACATCGGAGCGATGGATGGAGACGAGGTGCCGCGTCAAGTCGTGCTTACGACTGAACGACCTGCCGCACGACTTGTGGTGGCAAACATAGGGCTTGGCACGGTTCGGGTCGTGAGTCTGAATGTGGGTCTTAAGGTTGTATGCCCTGGCGAAGGCTAGAGAAAAGTAGTGAGCGACCATTGATGAAAGCATGATGACGAGTGGGTATACCTCGAGGGCAAGACGGGCACTGGTACTTCTTCTTGGGGTCCTGTGGCATCTCATCCAACTTTCGTGCCATGGTAGGACTGTTGAGCATAGGAATAGACGGAACACCGGGCACAGCGGAGACGTTCAAGGGCGATACGGTCTGCTGGGACACGCCTCCGTAGTTAAACGACTTGCTGACCTGCGCCTGCGGGTAATAATCCGAGGCCGCAGAGCTGACCATGCGGACATGCTGCGGCTGGGCAGGCTCGTAGTCCGAGAAGCTGCCGCGCGGGGAGAAGCCCTGCGGGGAATAGCGCCCAACGTTTGGTACCATCTTGGGCGAGCTGCGGATGCTCGCGTTCGGAGAGACGGTCGCGTACTGGGAGTCGTCCTGCGACGGAGCAGCAGAGGCAGGAAGTGCCATACGCTTGAAGTCCATGTCGAGGTCCTGGGTGTACGAGTAGTTGCTCGCGGCGTAGTTGGGGTTGGGAGACTGCGCGTTGAAACTGTAGGCTGAGAGAGAGTCGGCGTAATTCGAGTCATAACCCGACACCGACTCGGAGGAGACGGTGAAGGTCGAGGGAGGCCCGCACGTAGGAGTATCCGCTCGGAGGAAGGAAAAGATGTCTCCGGTGGTCTCTATGGGGAGAAGGCTGAGCTCTGCGTCGAAGGCCGCGAGGGAGGAGTCGAGCTCCGACTCGAACTGGTCAGGGTGGGGCGCGACAATGCCCGTAGCCCCAGGCCCGAAATGGAAGAAATCAAAGTTCTGCTTGGAGTAGTCGACCTCGTCGAGACTGAAGGTGGCACTATCGTCCTGTTGCCCCTTAGCGGTCGCAGGGTACTGCAGCGGCGCAGCAGAGGGGTAGAACTGAGCAAAGGGTGTGTCGGGCATGACTGGGTAGCTGCGGAAGCGTTATGTAGTGTTAGAGGTGCTGGTTGAAGGAGGGATGAGGAAGGGAGGATATGTCGTGGATGGGGGAGAAAAGGGTGCTGCGCAACGGGCGACAGGACACGTACCACCTCGCGGGTGCCCACAAGGTTCCCACCCCTTGTCGCCGGCTTCTCTTGCCCGAGGCGCTGCACCCCCCATAAGAGGCAAGTGTCATGGTGCCTCCCTCTCACACACCCCGTAACCGCATAACCGCTCTGCCCAATCACGCCCATTCATCCGCCCCGCCCTCCGCGCGCCGACCGGACTCGTCGTCTGCGACTCATCTCCCAAACACCGACGCCAACGCCCTCGGGCCCGTGCCGCATCCGCAGTCTCGAGAAACCTCTGACTCGACTCGAGCGTCATCAAGCCGGCCGTCCGGTAGCGTCAGCATCACCCCGTCAGCGGTTGGGGTACGTCGCGTCTTGATCCCATCACCTGCCAATTATAGCTCGCCTTTGGTTCAGCTTTGGTTCGGCTCCCCTGTTGTGCTGTGCCTACCTCCGTGAAGCAGCCTCGATCGCATGTTCCCTGACAATGCATACGTGGATCGCTTCACATCCCTCTCTACGACACGCCCACACATTCTCATGCGTGGAGGCAACGGACTTGTGAACGCGTGCACATTAATGGTTCAAGGAATGCACTGCGAGCGATCAACGCCCCGTGTCATGCTCACTTTGCCAGACCGAATCGTGCCGGCGGGGCATTCGTTCTACTTACTCTATGCTAGCCTCGTGTTCAAATATGCAGGTTCGTGGTTCAATTTCCCGCGGGCGTTGTGACGCGCAGCTATCCGTGCGACAATTCACGAAATTGAAACTTATAGACTCGTCCAGGGCCCGAGCGCTGTATCGCTCCTTGTGCCGTGGGCGGACGCGCCGAGGTCCACCGTTGGCATGCCGCATAAACATATTTCTGGGGCGTAATTAGTCTCGATCCAAAGCCGTCCACGCCGCGACAGCTTCACGTAGAGGGTTTGTGTCGAACCTAGGGCCACGCCGTAGTGGGTGGGCTCAGAGCCTCCCAAGCTGTTGGACCCGGTTGAGCGGCCAGCCCTTTGTTGTCCGGAGAGTGATTCCGTCCCGACACACGATGGTTCTTGTGAGTCCTTCCCTCGTCACGATGTCTGTGACAGCATGCATCACCACGACGGTGGTGTCATGGCTCTGTCTTTGTTCCGCAAACCTATGACTTCTTGACTAAGATTGCGACCACTGTGTTCTACAGGGTCACTAATTCCAATGCAGTGTCCTGGGCGCAGAACGCGTTTGTGCTTCGGGCACATCCGTGATATGCACCTACGAGACCTGTTTGGACAAGGCACCACCCAATCCATGCCAGTAGGAGCATATAGGGAAGGGAGCACGCGAGGGCTCGGTGACTTGACTCTAAAATGCTCCGTATGGCAAGTCATGAACGGT